CCCTGTTTAGCGGGGAGGATCTTATTTTCTTTAAGTGGACGCGCCTCTGAGATTTCAAGGTAACCTTCGTTTTTTTTACACGGAACTGTATGTTTTTATTTAGGTAGCCTATTCCGAGACGAATTCATTGACCTATAACACTTTGGTCTTTCAAGGTGGTTCAAGGTCACGTAGTGCCGTTCAAAACTTACTTTCGTTGTACACTCAGAAATTATACCCAATCCTTCGCGAGGGCATAATCACATCGTCCAGGTATGAGAACGCGACGGTGTTTTTCAGTGGCCCCAACACTTTGTCCATTAGCCGCTGGAAAACGGCCGAGGCGTTGGTAAAGCTGAAAGGCATTCTCAAAAATTTATAATGACCCTCTAGAGTGACGAAGGCTGCCTTCTCAATCGAACTTTCGGCAACCGATACTTGATTTCCTCCGAACTTGTCGATCTGATCGTCGATTAACGGGAGGGGATATTTGTCTTTCACCGTGATGGCGTTCAATTTCCGGTAATCGATGCACGACATGGTCCATGCATTCTTTCTTGCTCACTGCTACATCTGCATATGGATTTAAATCCAAAATTGCTTTGAAGGTTTTTATATCGCCATCGCTGATATAATTTACGTATTTCACGCCATGCATTGTTTCTGAACGCAAAAACATTTCAGTCACGGCGTCTACCTCCATTTTGCCCGCATTTCCCTCGTGGTTGACTCATCAACGCGTGCTTCTTTCCAATTTTCATATTCTGGGGTTTCTTCTCTTCCTTTCTAATAATAACATGATTGACAAAAAAAAGCAGACTTTACTATTCATCGAGTATTTTATTGCTATATTTATCAATCAATGAACTCACTCCAAATAACGAAGAAAAACCTCTCTTCTTCCATGATCCATCACCGGAAACAGTCAAATCCAACGACTTATTCTCTGCTTCTGTGTTCTTTGCGGGTAGACTCTCATATTAATTCAAACACAGATTCTGCACCACAATGAAGATTTTCCAGTATTGCATAATATGTGGTGTTCGCTAGTCCGTGACAAATATCCATCAAGGAACAAAATACATTTATACCTTGTAAATCAACTCCTAATAATCGCATCACGAACACAATTCGACGGTTTATTTCATACGATTTGTTAATAAACGGACTCGATACTATAGCAATATCACCTTTACACTTGCACACCAAGTTCAATTTGAAACCGAGCCCATGCTCACCACTACGTAAAAATTTAACATTATCATGACAAATTTTACACTGTAATTTGTCGCTGATAAAATTAAACACAGTTAAGAAATGGATAATTACATATCCGTGAGCAGGATCTACTAAAATGTCGTCACACTCTGAATTTTTTAACTTTTCAGCAGACGTACTCGCAAATGAGGTCTCTTACTCCAACGTGAATTGATTACCCATAAATTTTCGTTTATGAGGTTTCGCAACGCGTTTGTTACTGACACGACTGCCTTTTTTTAACAATTTTTGACATTATCAAGAATAGAATAAAATTGTTCACTGTAAGACAGCAGAAAAAGTACTGAGCTTACTGTTACTTATTACTGAACTTCTATAATAAATTAGCAAAAAAGGCCTAACAAAACGGCTGTCACACTAGAATACCCCCTTAACTGAATTAACAGCTTGGAAAAATGGCATGAGAAATCTGCCATTAAAATCTCAGAAGGCATGCTGGTAATCCTGAAGGAGGACAACACTCCACCATTCTGCTGGCTAATGAGACGAATACTGGCTGTTCATCCAGTAAACGATGAGATTATCGTACTAGTCACTGTCAAAACCACAAACAGACAAGTGTAGTATTAAAAATATAGCTCCTTTACCTTTGGCCAATACATAGTAAGGCGTAATTTAACAAAACAAAAACATATTAATAAGTACACATTGTAAATAGTTCACACTAGATGTATAAAGGTACAACATAACTCTGTAATAAAGGACAACACTCCACCATTCTGCTGGCCAATGAGACGAATAGTGGCTGTTCATCCAGTAAACGATGAGATTATTGTACTAGTCACTGTCAAAACCACAAACAGACAAGTGTAGTATTAAAAATATAGCTCCTTTACCTTTGGCCAATAGATAGTAAGGCAACAAAACAAAAACATAATAATAAGTACACATTGTAAATAGTTCACACTAGATGTATAAAGGTACAACATAACTCTGTAATATTTATTGTCACTCTAGTTCATAAATGTACTATAATGCAAAGGTAGAAACGTAACTGTACATATACTTATATTATTTTTGTAAATTACTAATCTCATTAGAGCACATATACGTATGTACATACTCACCAAACATATACACAATTATCTTATTCTACATCACTTGCATCAATAGCATTGCACCTTGAACGTGACAGTTCAAAGGGGAACGGCATGCTGAGCGTTACTACTCGTTAAGCCTTAGACCGTTTGTTAGTCGCAGAGGTCTGGCACGCAGATTTTTTATCACGCAGCCAGAGACCACCTTTAAGATTTTTGGACAGCTGGAATCACTTGGAAGACAAATTTTCTGCCATACACTCTCATCACAATCCTTCCGCAACACCACCAACACAGAACTACCAATAAGAAAGAAACGCAAAATAGTTACTGACCAATCACAATATAACACAGTTTACTTTAAGTCGAAACACAGGGCGGAAAATCAGAAATCATCGACCAATCGAACCATAAGGAACACTTTGAACTCTTGAACCGAAAATATGCAAAAAGATATAACATAGAAAGCTCGTACTTCTAAGAACACAAACTTGAAACAAAATTTATTCGTGAGAGCGCGACGTGACAAATCTCATTCATACTCAAGTCGCAACATTAGTGTTAATAAAGTTAGTAAAAAAAATGGACGTACCATTTTTACTATATCCGCGCCCCATGTTAACATTAATGTCACAAAAAATTAATGTTAGTATTCAAGGGTTAAGCATAAAATGGTACAAAGAGTGTAACACGATAAGAAAACCATTTTTACATATTTCAAAATCATCGATATTTTTTTTAAATCAAGCATGTATCTACATTTGTTATGATTGATAAAAAGGACGAACTTAAAGATTATCATGACACATTGTCAAATCAAGTATCGCGTCTAGTAGCACGAACTTCTTAAAAAATTAATAACATGAATGTACCTATACAAAAATAAAAACAAATACCATTTGTTCGATTAAAGGTAACGTGTATCAACATTTGTTATGATTGATAAAAAGGGCGAACTTAAAAAATATCGTGACACATTGTCATGTCAAGTATCACATCTAGTAGCACGATCATCTTAAAAAATTAATAATAACATAAATGTATAAGAAAATAAAAGGAAGTATCACTTGTTCGATTAAAGGCATTATAATACGACGTACAAGTTCCTCCGCTCCGTCCCAGTGTCATTAAATAGATAAGGAGAAGAAGGAAAATGTTCCAAAAGATTATTTTTATAATTGAAACGAAAAAAGGTTTTATTACGAAGTTATCCTTCAAAACCATAATAATAATTCCCAGGCGGCAATTATACAATAATTTTAATAAATACTCAGCTGTATCAGTTTTCTCGATTATAATCCGAGAAATTCTCCGAGAATAAAGTTCAGTGGAATTTTTCCTCTCCTCTTATCATCTATTCAATTACATTTTATAATCACATGAACGTGTGTGTGAATGGTGGACGATAGTTAGCTACAGGTGATCTCAGGCAAATCAATATTGTTCGCGTCTCAGTGAATATATGAATGGTCTGAATGTCCCTCGCAACACGTAATCCCTGAGTCCACTCATAATCGTGATATTGCACGCTCTAAGCACCACCAAATACCTCGCCCTATATACTCTATTCCAGCTACCGGCTTTGGTGTGTTATTTGAAATATAAATGTAATATTTGAAATATTATAATACTATTATTGGAATATAATATCAATATTTGAAAGAGGGATTCGGCTGGATCTGGTCAATGATATTGACAGTAGGGCGGTATGTGAAAAGGGAGAAACTTGTGTGTATATGTGTGACTGCGTGTACTTACATGTACTATAGGGTGCTTTGAATGGTTTGTTGTGGATGAAGCGTGAAGTTATTGTCACATTTGTATTCATTGAGGTATCAATTGATTTGTAGTTTAAGATTAAAGGTTTAAATTTCAATTTTTGTTGTTGTCTGTGTAAATTAATTAACGTATATTAAGTCAGTCGTAATTCTTTGTTATTTTGTTTAGTAATATGATATATTTGGCGACAGAAGTATTTTTCTTTGTAATAAAAATGACTAAATAAATTGAATTCAAGATGTTTTAGAAATTTTTAGAATAAAGGCATTGTAAATACAAATGGCTAGGAAAATATAATACTTATGAATAAAGCAGTGTACATGAAGTAACTTCATTCTGTTACTATATGGATGATAATTTTATGAATAATAAGTTCCATACTCTCACGTATTATCAAAAGTAACGAAAATAATCTAACATTTCTTTTTACTTATTTTTAGTGTACTATTCTACAATGACTATTATTATATTCGTTTCTTATTCGTAATAAAGAAACTCATACTTGTATAATCCTCATTTACAAGTAACTTGAATAAGCTTTAAGGTATATATAACAACTATAACAACACCAAACACTCTCGCATTTTTTCTTCGAAAAATTTCTTCGCTACCTACACTTTTTATCATTATCATAAAAACTCAAAATCAACGTTCGTGCACCACGCTGCAGCCACAACTACAGCAAGCACCCCAGCTGCGAAAACAAATATACCTTTGTTACAGATATTCTATTAATAAAGTATGAATAACCTCGAATACGCAATAAAAAATATACACAACTTCTAGATTAAATTGCAAGTACACTTCGTTGAATTGTTCGAACGAATTGGCACTGATAATGGGTAACTTAAACAATTTGATCTCTCTATGGCGGAGCGATAGATGGTTCTCGAAGTGAAAAGCGATGTGCTCGCGTTGAATGTCAAGTCACGCGTCCGCCGTGGTGTCAGAGTCCCCGTCAGGTTCTTCTTCGACGAGAAATTCTGGATAACCGAGGTCTAGAACGTTTTGCCGCGATAGCTCCTGCAGGTACGGATAGAACGATATCAGTCTATACCTACTGATACACTCGACTATCCAGTCGTGGACGATTGGTACGGCTTCAGTCTTTTTATACCACTCTACTAGAAGGAAACAAACATAAAAAAAAGTTCAGACATTATTGTGCGATTCGATCGACAAAGCTTCGTGATAAAGAATTCATTTTATCTTACGTTTAATACAATTTTATGAATCAGACCCTGTTCGTTGAAATTTCTTTTGTAATACGAATAATTGGTTTCATTCTTAATTCATTAAAATTTATTCTATAAGTAAGGATGGAGAAATAATGGAAAAATAATGGATAATATATGAATATTTAACAGATTTTGGAGGTATGAGTAAAATTGAAAATTTCTAGTCCTTGAATGATTTTAAACTGTGAAAATATTTAAACAGTAAAATCAAATCAGTGATAGAAAGGTATAGTATCAGATCAGTAGTAATCATAGTCGGTGATAAGTAGTATCTTGGCATGTTGTTCAAGTGAAAAGTAATTACATTTGTTTAATTCAATTATGATCATCATATGAATAAAATGATAATCATCAATTATCAAGTACATAACTATTAAATACAAAATTCTCTTCTAATGGTGTGTTCTCAAAAACCTCGAAAAAAAAAAAAAAACTAATATATACTATAAAAACATACTTCCATTTTAAACCAATCCGTGAATAAAAATATTGACTAACAAGTTTTCGTGTGTTACGTTACGAACAAAATTCTTTTTTCTTTACGCTTTCATAATTATTCATCGGCGGGAGTGTGATTTGATGCTGCAAAGCATCGTGAAACCTCCTTAACTCAACTTTTGATGCATAAGAAAATTAATCCATTTATTTGAACACTGCGGACGATCGTTAACATTAGGTTGGTGCATATGAAACGTCGTTATTTTAAATGAAACTTTAGATACTTTGTGTTCCTTCAAAGAATAATGTATTTAAACAAAATAATTTCCACACGATTCTATACACTTTTCCCACAACTACTTTCATTATTCCTAATTTATAAGAATCATCATTCTTGAATTCAAAATTTCTTCGAATGCTGCTTTTAGTGTCTTCATTTAAGGATAATTTATTCGTTAAAAATATTGCTCAGGTGTTTGAGGAAATGATTACGCAATTGGATTGACTGTAACGGCAGTTCAAACACTTCAACTTCAACCCCTTTTGGTATAATACGTTAAGAACCACTGGACTAGACAAGCACAGACCCAACTTCTTATTCGATTGGTAAGGAAAAATAAAAATTTATCAAACTTCCTCAGTCTGTTGCACGTTACCGAAATCGCCGTTCACGTGTAACTACAAACAAGACAATAAACTTACTAATAACCTCGTAGTCGTAAATGTCAGCTTGGATCACGATGACCCTCCACCTTTTCTTTTCAGCGGCCAAAGCGTCTAACGAGTCGACCACAATGCCGCCGGTAGCGCGCAGCAAGTCCTGGAACAAAACATATCTTTAGAACTTGGCAGAGATTCAACTCGAAATAACATAACAAAATTGAATGCCAGGGAAGCGTAAATAAATGCATTTCTTGGGGTGAAGTTTCATTGTGAACTACTGAAGCGTTCGGTTGCAAGATAGGAAAACCTATTAAATTTATACGCAGATTTAAAAAGACGATATTCTTGGAATAGTTCTCCTTACGTCAGATTGGAGATCAACTTTACTGTATTTTTTTTTTGTTTTTTCTTTGATTGATAGTGTAAGGTATTCACGAAGTTTTATAACACATATACATATACACGCACACATACGCAATAAAGTGGTAATAGTATAACAATTTTATAAGAAAGATTATGTATAAGAAAGATTTGCATTTCGTTAAATTTTCACACTTCACAAGGCAAGAATAAAATGGGAGGAGCATTTGCAGTATTCATTGCAGTAGTGGTTTCGAAAATGTGGTGGAGAAAGAATGTTTCAGTTTATGTAGGTTTCAAAATACAAGTTTGACAAGACACTGTGTATACTTGGCAATTTATCAAGAATTGTAATTTTATTATTACATCCATATACATATTCTGATTCATGAAAATCGTTCCAAATGCAGATCATCCTAGCAATCTTCCCGATAACGATTTAAGATCATTCTTTATAAAAATAAACCTTGAAATGCAAGTTATAGTGTGATAAAAAATACCTAGAATTATCAGTTTCACCATGAAGTGAAAGTTAATAAATTTCATTTTAACATAAATTACTAAAAAAAACAGCTGCTTCACAAATAAGAACTCACAAAAAATCAGCAATTAATATTTACATTTTATCTACATTAATTACTAAACAGCTCGAGACAACATTTCACTGTGCCCTTAGTTAAGAACTAAAGAAAAAAATATTCTTAAAACACTTTAGTCTCATCAACCAAAAGATCCTCACATACGCTGCTGTTCATAAGTATTAGAACACTCATTATGTTTGTACAGAAAGTATTGTATTAAATGATTTAACTTACATACACTTTGCCAGATTTAATACCGTATATGGAAATTAGGAAAAATGTACACTTCTGTCTATAACTATTAAGACACTTTTTGAGTGTGCAGCATACTAAAATGTACTGAAATTTACTAAAATCTACTGAAATATACTAAATTTTACTAAAATCTACTGAAATTTGTTGAATTTTACAAACGTCTACTGAAATTTGCTGAATTTTACAAGTATAATATAAAATCAAAAGTCAATAAAAGTCAAAAAAACAAAATTATTAAGATCATTAAAAAAACTTATTTATTCTAGAATCTTGAAATATAACCAGTATACACCTACATATAATACTTTCTACACAAACACAATGGGTGTCCTAATACTTACAAACCTACTCGTTATATTAGGAGATTCTAGGTTGAATAATTCTTTTCTGGATCCTAATAATTTTGACTCCTTTGACTCCTTTGACTCAATAACTTTTTAGGTTTGCTTCACATTCAGGAAATTATAAACACTTATGAACGGGAGTGTATGTGAAAATCTTTTGGCTGATGACAATAGTATATTTACAACATTTCTTTCTTTAATTTTTAACTAAGAGAATAGTGAAATGGTTTACTCAAGTGGTTTAGTAATTGATATCGATATCTAGAATGAGAATATTAATTGCTTATTTTTTGTAAAATTTGTCAGCTAATGAAATGACTGAGTTCAATTTAGTAATTTATACAAAAATAAAGTTGTCCAAAATTAAACCACCCACTTCACTATTCATCAACTACAAAATTTTATCCAATCTTACATAAAAAAAAAAAAAAAAAAAAAAAAAAAAAAAATACCTGATACTGTTCAACAGAAACATCATCGTACGGTCCAATGCACAGAAACGCGAACCCCTGGAACAAGTCCTTCTCCTTGAGTCGTGACTTCCGAGGACCAGCCTCGAGCGTTCTGCTGTCCACCGCTTCATACGGTTCCTCGCTTATCAATCTCCGCTCCTTTAGCGTGTCCATCACCCACTGATAGCTCACTATCCACTTCCCATAGGCGATACCCTGCAGGTACTTCAACGTTTTGTTCGCTCCGTTGTTCTCTTGGTCCGTTTTCACAATCACGTGTGTAACATCTTGATTGAACTGCGTCATGTACCTAGCGTTCACCGTTTGCGCCAGTCTTTTCACGTGTTCGATTTGTGATGGTACCAAACCGCTGCACACGAAACAGAGCCTCTGTTTGTTGACATTCGAAACGCTTTGAACGTTACTCGGCACTGTGCTCTCCGACTGTCTGCTGAACGTGGATTCGTTCAAGTTTGAAACTAGCTTCGCGGTGCTGTAATTGTCCTTAGAGGTAGACTGTTGTACTTTAGGGGTGCTCTGATAGAGAGGATGTATGCTTTTCTTGCACGCTGGAGTATTCATGCCGCCCAAGTAGGAAAAAAGTTGGTGTTTTGATAGGGCACTGCATCTCACTGATTTTCGTGATCGGTGACGCGATCGAACTCTCTTTTGGCGAACTGAACGCTTGGATGTTGCTAATGGACGAGAAAAAATGGTATTCCAGTGACATGGTATAAAATTTCAGGTACTGATGTGATTTCTTATGAAATTTAACGAGGGAAACAAAGGTACATAGATTCAAACGGGATTGTTAAGTTTTACAAGAAGAAAATGGACAGACTCTTTTTCTTTTTTTCCCCCTAGATGAAACAGCAGTTTTCAAAAGGTAATCAGTTTCTTTGTATGTGAGTTAACTAATAAAGGATTAAAGAAATTGCATTACTAACTTGCAAAGGAAATATTACGATTGAAAATTCGAATTCTGTTTAAAGTATCGAAGAAATATTCGCTAAAATCCGAATATTCTGTTTTGTTAATAGCTAATTATTAATTGAATATGTGACACAAAATTTCTCAAGAGATAAAAAAAAATATATTTGAGTGGTTACATGTATGTAATTACATTAATTGAATGAATAAGAGAGAATCGCGTTACTTACTTTTTCGTCTTTGTGTCAGGAGTGTTCTCGACAATGTCGTCTTCTTCACCTGAGTGTTCGATGTCCTAAATATTTCAAATCACAGAGTTAGTCTTTGACAATACAAGGTCTTGTTTATTTCATAAGTAGCGGAATGGATAGTGACGTCGTAAAATAAGCCACCATTTAAATACCATGTATGATATAAAATTGCAAAATTATTCTAAATAAGATGCTTGAAAATCCAGAACTATTCCAAATCAAATATATCGCTTAAGATTCAAAAACTGTTAATTGACGAATTTTTTATGAAATTCAGACTGTTTTATGGCAACTTATAAATGAGTATATTTTAATGGTTAAGTTCAGTTGTGATAGTTGGACATGTAAGGATGGAAAAGAGTTAAGAGGTATTCGAATGTCAGAGAGAAAAATCAGTAGACATAGACGTTGTTGCAACACGAAAGAAAGGGCTCACAAGCCTGCAGCTTATATACACATGTATACTCTATAGCTTCTATAGTAAGCTTTTAGGTCTCTCTGCCGAGAACTCATAAATCTGGAGCGGCCTTTTCTATTTTCGTCGTAGACTTTTCTCTCGTCTGCAGGCTATCTTTCAGACTTTTATTTATGGAAAATTCATAACATGCAGGCTGCTGTGGCAACGTTTTAATTTCCTTTTATCCCTTTAAAGGTGTAGTTTAACAAATTTTTGAAAAGGTCAGTGAAAATACGAGCGGAGAATTTTAAAAGCAAGTATTAGTTTAAAAAAAAACGTCAGACCATATGCGACATATTTCTACTTAATTCTTTAAGTTACTACACTTTCAAATCAAGCTGCTGCATATTATATTTCCTAATATTTGACATACTTTCTTTTGCATAAAGCAAGAAGTATTAATATTGTGGGAGTGATAGGATGTGTTTATAACGAATGAATAGGATAGAATGTTTGTAAGGAATGAATAGGATAGAATGTTTGTAACGAATGAATAGGATGGAATGTTTATAACGAAGCGATAGTTGTGTGAATGAAGAGTGCTTGAGCTAGAGAGATAGAGATGCTAAAGAAGAGTGTTGAAACGAGTGTGAATCGTGTGAACGGAGGATGCGTGGCCACCCAAAATGTTTGGTGGACGTAACTGAATGTTTTCGAAGAATGTCTGCCTAGAGTGAAAGAAATAGAGAGCTAGAGAAAGAAAGAATGCGAGGGTGTAAGGATAAATGAGGGTGAAAGAGGCGCGCGAGTATCAGTAAAGAGAACAATCAGGAAGAGAACAGCCAGGGAGTCATCGAGTCAGTGAGTGAACGTAGCGTGAGTTGTGAGTCCGTAACACTGTGAACTTAGAACTTTATATTAGTTTCACATTAAGACACTTAGAATATGCAGATTTCATCAATTAACCAAGAGTTTCAAAAGTCATTACCTTAATCAACCCTAATAAATCCGAAAAATATTACCTTGTAAATGTCTTTATAAAAGTTCTTTACAAAAACAAATGATAAATTAGACTCGAAATTTTATTGAAAATTATGTCTTAATTCTCAGCTAAAACTATGCCCACATACATGAATCATCATAAATACCTTTTCCGTATACTGCTTCATCATCAGCGGGGTCTGTAGTTCCATTTTCTCTGGATGCTTCTTTATTGAAGTATTTGAATTCTTAGACTTTCCAAGTAAATCCTCCTCAAACTGTTTCATCATCAAATAATGCTGCGTGATATTCATCAAAGAATCCTGATCATACGAATCTTTCATATGAACTACACTTTTTTTTGTTAGTAACTCATCGTTAGACGAACCAGTTACCACAGACATTCCAGTTGTCTGCTGCAATTTATCTTTCCTCATACTCTTGTTCGCCACATTGACACAAGGAACCAAAGTCCTTTCATTTTCATCAATGCTGTCATTTAACACCATAGGATTTTTATGTTTGTTCTCCTTATCAGAACTATTCGAACCATGAGTGTGTGAAACGTTCTTATTCAACCTGTGAACACTGACAACAGTCGCTTTTTCCTGTTTCGAATTGCTATCACTAGAATCTTGCTTCAAGCACTCGACATATTCCCGTTTATTCATTTTATCACCAAAATACTCAACGACAAACGCATCTGTGTCTACGTTAGCCATGATGTCGTCGAAGTTACTGTGCAACAAGCACTCATCTATAACAGCCCCCTCTCTTCTACCAGATTCACCTATCACCTTATTCCTTACATCCTTGATCTTGTCTATAGTCTCTCCAAAATCAGGCGAGTCCTCATCAAACAACGCATTTTCCTCTACAGTCTGCCTCCAGGTATTCCCAGCGAAAATAGATTTCACAGAACTAGATATATAAAGCAGCTTGGACCGAGGTATGTTTTGAGAACTGGTAGGCAGTTTGTTAATTAGTTTGTTGCAATCAGACGAAGAAGGTTTCGATGAGACGTTATCTTTAGCCACGTTGTTCGAGTTAGATATCTCACAAGCCTCTTCCACCTTGCCCTTCTTCTTACATTTCTCACTCCGCCTTGTATCAGCGTACCAGTCGCTCAAGATCTCGGTCAGATTCACTTCCCCGTCAGAATCAGAGGATATAGCTCGTTTCCGCTTCGAGCTAGGAGACACAAACTTCTGATCGTTAACATTGTTTACGCAAACAATGTCAGGAGAATCGTCTGAGCTATCAAACAACGGCCTTCTGTGCAGTTTTTTCCATCCACTGGCTATGACATCCGTGTCAGAGCTCAGAGACATTGCCTCGATGTCTTTGGTGCTGGGATTGGACGACTGGATCATTTCGTTGGTCTTCTTGACGACGAGAACCTCTTTGTTCAAGTTTCTGAGACGCGTGGTCTGTGACGATAAGCTGTGATTGGAGTCCTCGCTTTCCTCTTTCTTTTCTTCAGACTTTCTCTTCATCCTGTCTGACAACTTCTCACGGTTGTCACATCTTTTCCTCTTTCGATGAGGCGTACCAGGCGAAGTCGAACTGGTGGAAGCTTGTTGTGACGCGCGTATAAGAGCTCTGGAATGGACTCCTTTGATTTCAGAGAAACTGCTCCTCCTTGGGCTGCCGTCTTTTGCTGTCTTAGATCGATGGTTCAGTATCTGAGTTTGAAGAGTGTCCACGCTGGGGGACTCTACTGACAGAAATTGAAGCTGAGAGTCCTTCGTTGGCGATAACATCTTTATATTGGCCGCTGTCTTCTTGGGAGATTTTATTGAACGTTCAATAGGCAATTGAGTCGGTTGTACTTCATCTAAAGATACAATGAGCGTATCTGCATATTGAAATGTACCAGCATCATTATTGTCAGCTTCAATAAGATTTTTGTGCTTGGTGTTTTGGTCGTGGTCATCCAATTTATTATTAGATACTGTTTTAACGGAATAAATTTTTGATACACTTGTTTCTTTCACCACAGACTGTTTACTCGTTTTTTCCACCAGTGGATTATTTTCTTCTTCTTGCAACGTTGGCGTATTATTCACAGTGATGTACATCTCATTTCCAAAACCATTCTTTGATGTGCACACCTGCTCCAATGCGTCCGCAGGATTATCAAGTTTTTGCCTGGTTGGGCCTAGATATAAGAATTTCACGCGTTTCTTACCGTGCTTGCAAAGCTTTCCTAGCTTTCTGATTACGACACGACATCCACTCTGTTCCCTGTTTTCTTGCCTCCTGCTCGTAAACTCGCTCGAAATGGCGGCTACGCCTTTCACCCCTCTTTCATCCTGCTGGGTACTTCTCGAAGAACCATTCTCCTCCGTTTCAATTATTTCCACTGCGCTCCTCTTCCTTGCATTAGCATTTTCCTTATCGCTCTGATCGATCTGGTGATTCAAGTCGCGTCTGACTGCCTGCAACCGCGAGTCAGCGCTCGAACAGGATGAATCGTTTGCTATGGGATCGGTGCTTCGCCTTTTCAAGGACAGTCTAATACAATTCAACGGCGAAGCTTGCAATTTGGACGCTGAGCACGACTCGTCTATCGTCTCGATTCTCTTCATTGGCGTCAAGGACGAAATGTCGCAATTACTACTCGATTCGTTAGCCAGATTCGCCAGATCTTGGAATCCCGTTGCTTTGGCTGGAGTCGACTGAGGAAACGTATCTTTCGTCAATTTTAACCCGACAGTTTCATCCTTGTTCGACGCTGACTCATCGAGCGATCGAGGTTTGCTCTTGTTCTCGATGCTCACGTTCAGTGTCCTCAATTTCTTCCTCTTCGTGCGCATTTCCTTGCCGAATTTAACTACTGAAGACCAGTTCTGCTTCATAGTAGGCAACATGTTGCAGCTGGACGTTCTATGAACGTCGCTAGGCCTCTCTTCACTCCTCTCTCTGTCTTCGCTACGCCTCTCTTCACTCCTCTCTTTGTCTTTGCTCGCCCTCGTCACCCCAGACGTGCTTGGTTTCTGATTATCCATATTCAAATCCACCGTTAATAAGTATTTCTTCTCGTTTCTCGCTCCAAACGAGTTTCTATACTCCTTATCGTTCGAATCTTTTTCATTATTTTCATGTTGCATGGAACTCCTCGAAGAACGTCTACCATTTTGAATATTGCCTTGGTCCACTGACTCAGCCACAACTGCAGCATCTATGTCAAAGTTTTCCATCCTGGTGTTAACATTTTGAGAAACTGATACCGTCAAGGTGTCGTCAAGATCGCCCTCCGCGGATTGTAAGGGTACGATTCTATTAGGACTGTCAAGTGTTGCGGTTTTTGGCAAAGTTTCCAGCCAACTGTGCACCTTCGATACCGTTGTTTCCTGGAAATCGTTCAATTCGTCAAGAGGCAGTGGTTCCACTCCAGAGAAGCCACATTTCGACAGATACTTCGTTATACTGCCTTCCTCGCTCGCCTCGTTCTTCTGTTTGCCCTTCTGATCCTTTGATACCTTTTTCCTACTTTTCTGCGTGTTCCGATTTGCTTTACTCGCAGGTTGTCTTGTTGGTAAACTGGTGTTGACGTAAGAACAGCTCGGTTTTATCTGTTCTTCGAAATTTAATTTGTATTGTTCCGTGTTACTTAATAAAGAACTCTCCCGTGGTTTAGGTAAGTGAGTCAGTACTGTAAAAAATACAATGTGTTTATTTGCGACTCGGAAAATGTATGCGTGAGTTTGTGGTTAACGTCAATTAAATTTGAATTAAAGTCTAAAATAGCTAAGTGCAAATTTTCATTCGATGCTTAAGGTACAAAACTTGACAGTAAATATCATAAATATCATATCATTCGATAGACCACTCAAAAAAAAACCTTTCTGCCAAGTATCAAGCTGCTACCCCTAGTGCTAGGGTAGTTACAGGGCGAAACGCAATTTACAATTTAAGCTCCATTTCTCTTGTTCTGCTCAATGAAAATTTATGAAAAAAATCATGGATGTCCTATCTAATGGCGTACATGTCTGTGAATTTTTTCAGAATTGTTGACTGCAGAATTGTTGACCTTCGCTATTTTCTTCGCGATTCCGACTAATTGCAGTTTTTTCAAAAATTTTTACAAACGTCGGAATGACGATAAAAAACCATTTCTCTAAGCCTTATAAAAATAGAGAAGTCACGTGTACGCTTGTTCACGGTAGCGCGCGGGTGAATCTCTGTTCGCCCGTTCCTGAGCGCGGGCTCTACGCGCGCTCTGATTGGCCAGTGCTTTTCGTTAATAATTCAAAAATGAAGCTTCAAACAACATTTTGGTCAAGGAAAAAGTTGTTCAGAGTCACCCCAGCAACCCCCCATTTCTGAGTGTTACACTCTTTACGGGACACTCTACACATCTATCCTTTTTTCTATTTTTATCTATTTTTCAAATATATTCTAATGGAAGAACCAGTGCTATCTCACCTAACTGGTAACTTGGCGATAACATTTCATGTTTTTTCATACCTGTCTGATTTTATACGACTCCACTACACACTTCTATCAAGTATACGTTTGAAATTTGTTACATTACTTAATGATACAATTTATTGCACTTTAACAAACTTAACTTCTTCCATTTTACTGTATATTTTCTTGTAATAAATTTGTAAAATTTCGAATGTCATTTTTTAAAGAAATATTTGCAATATTAAAAATTTAATTACATTTATATTCTGTTTTATATATTTTTTATAATAACAAAGGTAATAACGATCTCACAGAGAACAGCTCAAAAGTTCTTCATAAGATATCGATAAATTACTAGTACTTACTGTCGATGCCTGAATCCAATTTAATCGCTTCGATTAGCTTGTTGAATCGATCGTTATATACTATCATTTGCTCGTCCGTAGAAATGTTACGATGATGTATGATTGTCTTGCAGAGTGGACAGGGCGCATTTTTATTTTGTAATACTGTTTCGATGCACGTGCGACAGAATACATGCCCGCAAAGTGTTTTCGTTGGGTCCGAGATAGTACTCAAACTAAAACAAAAAAGCGTATAATCTGTTACATAGAGTGACTCTCAAAACTGTTGCAATGATTGGCATTATGAATTAAAAATTCAATAAAAATCAGAAAAACTCTGTTGAAAAAAAACGAACTTTATTGAAAATTAAAGTAACACTATTATACTTTTAAAAATATGGAAAATAAAAATTTAACTTTGTTTTTAAAATTAAATATAGTTTTTTATGAAAAGTTGGGGTTTTTAGTAATTAGTGTAGTCACTTTTGACTGTTGTAATAACTTTAGTCATTTGGAAACACTATTCACTTCATTGGTCAAAAATTCTTTTGGAATTCCATTTCATATATGTTTAACCCACCCCCACAGTTCACAAACAAAGTTGGGTGTCTCTGAATATTTAGCCAGCTGTTGTTTTATATAGAACTACATGTGTTCACTAATATTAATATCAAGTGATTGAGGAGGCCAATCTAGCACTAACAGACCATGATCGGTGATCCATTTTATTGTTCCTTTTGCTTTGTTTTGAATCATTGCCCTACTGAAAAACGATCTCTTGCATTAAAGCATTAAAAATTTTTAAGCACAGTAAAAGTGATGTTTCCAAAATGTAAATATAGTCTTCAGCATTCATTCTTCCTTCAATTTTGAAGATCTTTCCAAAACTGTTGCCTTTGATGCAACTCTACACCATAATATTCCCTCTGCTAAACTTATTGGGTGAAGATGATCGTCGGTTAGTTGAGATGCTGGCATTTTCCATATCCACTGACAACCATCTGATCTAAACCTGTTAGTTTTAGTCTTGTCAGGCCATACAACCCTTCTCCAGTCATCAACTGTTCAGTTAATATACTTTTCAGCAAACTGTAATCTCAGTTTTCAATGTCTTGCAGTAAGAAGCAGTTTTTTCACTTCAACACCTGTTATATAACACTCCTGTTTTAAAACTCTACAAACAGTTTAGCACTGACATCCACTCCAAAACAATTTTTAACAGTTATCTGAGCCTGTATTGCATTATCAGCTTCTCCAATTCTTATTAATCTAACTAAACTTCAGTGGTCATGTTCATTTAATTTTCAAGGCCAACCACCCAATGATTTAGTACAACCTAGGAGAACTTTTTACCTAATTTGACTTACACTGGATTAGTGAATTCCAATTTTTTTAGTTTTGTGTCACACTGATAAACCTTATTTAAGAAGATGAACAACACTTTTTGTCTTATCACTGAAGATTGGTCTTATGGTGTTTAATAAATTATTTTTTATGACGAAATACTTTTTTTTGAGTAGCAACATATGTATGCAATATGGATTTAAAGCAAAGTTGACTTGGCTGATGGAAAATTTCAAAATATAATAGAAAAAATAATACAGTGTAAAACTGTTGCAAACAATGGATAAACTCAGAATGAAAGTATAATAAAACTTTGGAATTGACAACATGTGCGGATTGTAAGAGAACTATGTAGCTAGAAGGTTTACGACAAAAAACTCCCCATGTCTTTTTCAGGGTTCACTTAAATAGCCCCTTTGTCTTGGGAAAATTGCCAAAAAATGGGGGCACAGGTCCATATTGCCAAAACACTTCTCTTGCCCTTAAGAACGAAAAAACCCACAGAGGTTTGGAAAACATCTCTTACTCTTTGCCTCGAGGGCCAAGAGTTGCCAGGCCTAGATACGCAGACTCCCCATGGTGGTCGCCACAAACTTTATTATAGAAATCATATAATAAAACTTTAATGTCTTTATTTCATACAAAGACTTGTTTGCATTAAATGTAAAAAACGTATAACAATAAATGCAATTACTAAGCTATAAATATATGCTTATTAATATCTTGTTAATTACAGAATATTATAAAAATGAAACTAGTAACCACTAATAAGCAAATATCTGTTAAAAAGTTAAATGATTTAAGCTTATAATATTATATGTATAAGTTCATTTAAGTTAATATTAATTTTAATAATTAATTAACTTTTCATGATGGAAAATGACAGAAGAATGTACTGTATTAATATAAACATAATAGAATGTATAAAGTATACAAATATGAAATTCATTCCATATTACTATACAAAAATATAATATTTATATAACTTTAACATAATAACATTCATTTAATAAATGAAAGTAATAGAAATGTTGTATGAAGAATCAACGGACTACATATATGTATTTCATATTAAATTCATTCAAGACAATCTAAAGTGCAATTATAAAATCAAGTAAACATAACTCCTATCAAAATATGAATTATATACAAAATATATACAAAATATGTTGCGTACTAACATACATGATACAGTATGCAATACATATTGCAAATTCACATTTTACTACGCACATATAAATATTTGTATATTAATTGCAAACTTACCATATTTTGCACTGCAAACATGTTTGCATATCTCGGACCACTTCTGACAGTTTTTCCAACACTTGTTCCATTGTTTTCTGTTGTTTTGTTATAAAAATCCTATCATGAATATTTGTAAAATTCTATTTCATTCACTATTATCAAATAAAATAAACGCGGGAACTCCATTAAATTTCGCACTAACATTTTCCCATTGTTACTACCGATCACGTGATCGATGTGCACAGTCAACAAGTATCTGGAGTTTGTTTCGGATTTAACCGCATGAAAGTGATAGCGTTGCGATCGCTCAGTCGATACGTGATTCAACATGAGTCAAAAATAATATCTCAATTATTGAATATTTAAATTATTAAAATATGTATGCAAAACTTCGCTTATTTTTTATTCTTTAAACAGTGAAGCTTTTGAATACATTTATGTTCAGGAAAAATTTACATCAATATTTTAATATTCAGAAAATTTTATATTTTACGATAC